AATCTTCAAAAAGGTCTGGCTTCCTCCAGCAGAGCGCAGAGCGGGAGATACGCCGAGCCGGCTCGGCTTTAGCTTTAGCCGCCGTGGCCGGGGCCTCTCTGTCGCTCTCTCTCTCTCTCTCTCTCTCTCTCTCTCTCTCTCTCTCTCTCTCTCTCTCTTTCTGAGAGTATAGCGCTGCTCTTGAATTTTGCTCGAGGGTTACCGCAACCATACCACGCCCCATGGCCTGGAGGCCAGACGTGCCCTGATGTCGTTAGGAAAGGCGCGTTCGCAGTTCCACGCGAGGTGGAGAAAGACAGACGCAGCAGCAGCCTGCTACGCACCGCACAAGGCTTGGAAAAACGAGGCCTATAGGTTTGCATTACAAAATTGTAAATTTCTTTTTACAACATCACGCAAAGAATTTTTAAAGAATTATACTGTACTTAATTTCAAAGGTGGATGGCTTTGCAAAACTCATATTTTTTGCAAGACAAATTGTAAGTAAATAAACTTTCTGAGGCAAAGGCTGGAAAGTATCTATTTATCGAAAAAGACTGGTAAGAACTAATAAGGGCGGGTATTGGACATGGGCCGCCTGATGAGTACAAGTGAGACAAGTGAAAAATGAACGCAACCTCGCGGCCACCCAGCCATTTATCCCAATTACCGAGCGTGATTCGGCCTCCGGTGCCGCTGCGGCGAGCGGCGAGGCGAGCGGGCGAGAGAGCACGTAGCGCCGCAGTGGAACAAAAGAATAAAAGAAGAATAAAAAAAGAAAAATGAAAAATGACGCGGGATCGGGTGTTTGTATTTTTGCAAGCCTCTCTGCAAAATTCCAGCTGTTACGTAGTACTATACTATTTGGCGGTCGTGAGCCTTGAAACGCTCGTATAACGAAATGTCACCACGATGTGCGCGTGGGCCGTGCGCTCTGTGTGCCACTGTGCAAAATAGTTGCAGGATTTTACGCGAAAATTTACGATGAAGCGTGTCGTAAAATTACGATTAAAAATTGTAAAATTACTAGCAGTACAAATCGACTTAAAATTCTGCGACGAGCATAAGAATAGCCGTCGCAAATTTTCAACAGGTTTTGCGAATAATATCAATAATATATA